GAGCAGGAATTTGGTAGTGCTGGCAAGAGCAGCTCCCAGCACGTGTGGAGGGTTCCCACCCTCTCTTTGCACGCTGGGGCACAGCCCCATTGCCTCCACTTCCATGAAAGCTGGCAAATAAGGCAGAGCTGGCTCTGGTGGTGTTAAACCCCTCCTGAGTGTGCCCATTGTGTCTCCACTCCACCAGCAACTCCGTGCCATGGGGGCACACGGCTGCCACCTGGCAGAGGAGCCCTGCTTGCCAAAATGTGAGTTTTGGGGGGCACTTAGCAGGGCTGTTGGCACAGGGGTGGGTGTGACCCTTCCTACCCCATGTCCTGCCTGGCCAATGGTGAATACTGTTAGTCCCTCAAGATGCTGTACTTGGTTTTGGGGGAACTACTGCCCTTCTGCAACCCTGTTGTGACTGTGCCATGGCCTTCATTAGGGGATTTCTCATGCCAGGTATGGTTTGGGGTCCTGTGGGATGCTGCTGTGCTGGGTCTCAGCGTGGTCTGGGCTCTTCAGGGGTGCTTGGTGAGGTCTAGAGCATTTTGGGGGTGAAAAGCACCTTGTAGGGTGCCCAATGAGGCTGTTTCGTGGGGGCAGGTGTTGGGGGGAAGGGGGCATGTGCCTGTTCTGTGCTCGGCCTGTGTTGCTTCCCTGGGGAGCTCATTCCATGATGGAATTTTGGTGCTCTCTGTATTCAGAGAACAGCCTGGTGCACTCCCTCCAAATGCATGATAAATACATTTTTCCTAGTGCTGTTGGGAAAGCAGGAACCCCATCTAGGTCTCCTCCTCTCCCTCATATGTCCTAGAGGTGAGGGCTCGCTCCTTCATCCATTGCATCTCTCCTCGGAGCAGCTCACCAAGGTGGGAAGGGCTCAGTGGGAAAACTGAGGGTGAATAGAGCAAAAAACTACTACAGCAGAAGGCAACAGGCTCCATCGTGGAACTAGGAGCAGCTGCATCCTGAGAGGCCTCTGTGACTGGGCAGGGAACACGGGATCTGCTCCACTCCTCCTTCCAGCACTGGGCACCCATGGTCCTTCCTGTTCCCCCTGGGATGAGCAGGGTAGGATGAGATGGGGGCTGGCAGGGCTTGTTCCCATGAGCTCCTCAGACTGGTTCAGTCCTGCTCCTGTCAGGAGATATGGTATGCACATGCAGTGCTCTGGCTGTGCAAAACAAGTGTGGGGTGGTCCCAGGAGCATCTCCAGATGGAGCTTCTTTGGGTTCTGCTTCACAGGCAGTGGCATCTGAGGGGTGTGTGCAGGGGCATTGGGTGCTCAGGACCTGGGTGATGGGATGATCCACCTCCATGCCCTCCTGAGCTCCTGGAGACTTGGGTGAGGTGCTCCTGGTGATGCCTTATGTCTCACAGCCTTCTTCTTTGTGGGGAGATATGTTTTGAGTAAGGAATCCTGTAAATAGGCTACAGGGAGACCTTAAAGCCCCTTCCAGTGCCTAAAGGGGCTCCAAGAGAGCTGGAGAGGGACTTGGGACAAGGACCTGCAGGGACAGGACAAGGGGAATGGATTTCCATTGCCGGAGGACAGGGATAGATGGGATATTGGGAAGAAATTCTTCACTGTGAAGGTGGGGAGGCCCTGGCACAGGTTTCCCCAAGAAGCTGTGGCTGCCCCATCCCTGGAAGTGTTCAAGGCCAGGCTGGACAGGGCTTGGAGCAACCTGGTCTAGTGGAAGGTGTCCCTGCCCATGGCTCCTATAAACTCAGTTTTATAGGAAAAGAAGCAAATGGTCGACCTTTTCTGGAAAGCCTATTTTGCAGGTGAGAGTGGAGCAGTCCTCAATACTGTGGTGATGGGAGCTCTCAGTAAGGAGGGACTGGGTGTCTGTCCCCAGCATTCCCACCAGGAGCAGACAAAGGATGAGCTTATTCTTAGTAAAGGTTTAATTATGGGTTAGCGAAAGGGTTGTGAGGCCATGTATGGGGAGATGTAAACAACCCCCTGGCTGTTCTTAATGCCAGGGGATTTGCCAAGGCCAGATCCTGGGTGAGGATGAGGCTGGAGGATTGGGGTTTTATTTAGCAAATCCCCTTCCACGCTGCTCGCCCGCCCCGGGGCCACCGTGTCCCTGCGGCCGGAGGCCAAGCCGGGCTCCTCCGCTCCACTGTCACATGGACCTCCAGCATGACTGTGCTGGGATATGAGTAATGCACTCCGGTGACTCATTTGCTGCCTCTTTATTTTTTTTTTTTTTTTTTTAATCTTAAGGCCCTTGGCTTCATCTGTTGCTGTTTGCTGGCAGTTTCCTGACATGTCTCCTTCAGGAGCTGCCCGAGATTTCCAGTGTTTTTGCTGAGAATTGTCCTTGTGTCAGTTAGAAGGGTTGGAAATAATTTGGAAATCTGTAAATATCAGTTTTACCTTGAGCAGAGAGGGGCTTGCTGGCATGCTGCCCTCCCTGGGGACATGGGTGTGCTCTGCCAGGGACCTGGCTCTCCCTGTGCCACCTGCCTTTGGTAAGAGCCCATGCCAGGAGCAGCTTTGTGGTGTCCTTAGTTTGGGGTTAATTTTGCCCTGAGGAAGGTGAGTTTCAGTCTTGCCACATGACAGGAAGGCTTTCATAAGGCCAAGAACATCCTGCAGAGGCAAGGAAAGCCAGAGCTGCACTGGGATGAGCAGTAGCCGAGGGATCTTAGCTGTGCTCAGGCAGCAGGTGCCAGTGGCAAACCTGCCCAAACCCAGCACTGAGTGGGGCAGTTTGTCCAGCCTGGGAGGGCATTTGTAGGGGGGTATCATGGTTCTTCTTACTTGGTTAAGGAATATCAGCCCTCTGGAGCATCACAGGAGCTGTGATACTGTGGAGCTGTGGGTCCGTCCTGGCTGGCAGTGGAGCCACTGGGATGTGGGATTATAGAATCCCAGATTGGTTTGGGCTGGAAGGGACCTTAAAGCTCCTCTTTTTCCACCCTCTGCCATGGGCAGGAACACCTTCCACTAGGCCAGGTTGCTCCAAGCCCCATCCAACCTGGCCTTGGACACTTCCAGGGATGGGGATACAGGGACTGTGCCCTGCTGTGCAGCAGCTGTATGCAGTTTTGGAAGATAAGTTATTTTAGTGTGTCCAGGAGGGGTTTGGACACTGCAGGTGTGTGCTCATCACTGGGGCATCCTGCCATGTGTGCCAGCCAGGCTCCTTGGGGAGTTTTGGGGTTGGGCTCGGGACAGCAGGGTGACAGTCAGTGCTTTTTGCTCACCCTGAGATTACAACTGGAATTCCTAAAAGCACTGGGCACCTTTCCCTGTGCTGGAAGCACAGGCAGTGCAGGCAGGTCACAGGAGCTCCTTGTGTGGATTAAAGGAACCATCTGTTAAATAATTCCATCCCTTTTCCGGGTGCTGTGGCATTTCTCACCAGCTGGGGTGGGTGAGGGCTGTGCTGGAGACACTCGATCTGGAGACCCTGTTGTGGTGCTGAAGCATATCTCCTCGCTGGTGTCTCCAGACTCTTGGAAGTGCTTGGCTTTATTTTTAAAGGTGGAAAACTATTTAGGGTTTTTTTAATTGCAGAAAAATGGGGGGGGGGGGGGGGGGGGGGTTTGGGGGGGGGGAACTGATTTTTTTTTTTTTTTTAAGGGAGAAAACCGTTGTTTTTTGTTTTAATGGGGAAAATTATGTGGGTGTTGCTCTCCCTGAAGTCCTGAGAAACACGTGTGGCTGACTGGGATGATCCTAAAGATGCTGATGCGCAGTGAAAAGCAAAAGTGAAGTTTCCATTACTGATACAAGGTCACGTTGAAAAGCCACATTTGAGTGTGCTGAAACGGGCTGGTTGTCCCTAAAACGCCACTGTTGTGCCCAGCGGGGAGCAGAGAGGGGGAGGCAGCTCATCCATCAGGCAGGTTGGTGTTTGATGGTCCTAATCCCGGTTTTTGCCGGGCGCTGGAATGCGGTGGTGCCCTCGGAGAGAGATCTTGGGTGTCCCTGGGATGGGGCTTTCCCTGGTGTCCCTTGCAGCAGTGGGTGCCGTTTGGGATGAGGATGCCAAAGATGCACCTTCTGCTCCTGCAGCCAAGAATGGGAACTGCTTCAGGACAAGAGTGAGTTTTACAGTATCTTTCCTGCAGCAAAAAAACAAACAAAACCACAAAAACAATAACAACACAAAAAAAAAAAAAGGAAAAGGAAAAAAAAAATCCAAGAACCAAAACAAACAAACAAGAAAAAAAAATCCCAACCAAACAAAAAAAGCTTGGACTCTTGGAGCTGGTTAAAGATCTCGCATTTCCTTGGATAATCCCGGTAGTGTCCCAGTAACTCCTACACTGGCATTGCCCGTGCCTCCAGCCGGGCTCTCCCTACTCCTGCAGCAGCTGTGAGAACTGTTTTGAAGGTGGCGAGGGTCGCACACCCCGTCGGGGCTGGCAGGGGCTCGGGGAGGCTGGATGCTGTGGCTGGCAGAGAAATGGGGTGACAGGGTGGTGCTGGGTGGCATCTCTTCGGGCACCAGCTGATGAGGGGACATGGAGGGTCCCCAGGCAGAGCCTGGCTCGGCTCTTGCAGCCCCCCCCGCTCCCTCCCCAGCTTCTTTTGTTCCCCGCTCCGGAGATGCTTAGGCTTCTCTTCATGCGAGATTAATTCCCGGGCGCTGTTAGGAGGCAGTCGGGGAGAAATTTCTTCCCGCATCATCCTTTCGGGGCTAATTGCTGGCGATGTGACGTCAGCCGATGGATTTCTCCCTTGAATGGCTGCGGGAGAGACGAGGAGGGCCCAGCACCCGCGCTCACAGCCCTTGTGCCGGAGCGAGCTCCGCTGCCTTATCCAGCCGGGATTGATTTATTCTCCCCCTATTCCCAGGCGGGCTCCCCGCACGCTCCTAATCTGACAGCGCCCGGTAATTAATCTGGCTCCCCCGGCCGCTGCAATAGGATTAAGGGAGGGGAAGTGCGTCACGAGGTAGGAGAGGGGTTATGCTTTTGGTGAAAGTGGGGGGGAAAAATATGGGAAATAGGTTGGTGTGTTCCCGGGGGGTGTGTCGGGAGCGAGCGCGCATGTGAGGAGGTGCGGGGCGGGAGGCATCGGCTGCGCCGGAGCCGAGCCCGGCTCGTCCTCCCTTTCTCTCAGCATCCTCCGTGATGCGATCCTGGAGGTGATACAGGCACAGCAGCATCCATGGCCTGCCCTTAGCGCCAGCATTCCTGCTTTATCCTCCGTGATATTCTGGCAGCGAACCGAGCCCGGCGTCGGAGGCGTTTGGTTGGTGAAGGGCTGACGTTGAGTGGCTGGTAACCGGGATCGTATTCTCCTGTATTTTTTCAGGCTCCTTGGAAATTGAGGAATGCAATTCTGCCACCATGATGGAAGGTAGGTGATGAGCTGAGCGTGTCTTTCGGGATAGCTGGAGTTTGTGAAGCCACGGTGGAGGATGCACTGAACCTGTGTATGGGGATCCTTTCTCTTTCCTAAATAAAATAATAATAATAAAAATTAAATCCTCCCCTCCCCCTAATCCCAGCCCAACCAGAGCTCCCTGCCTGCTGCTGGGGAGCTGGCGGATGGTGATATAATATCAAGCCCATCAGATTATTTGCAATTCCATCCCCAGCCCTGTGTAGGCAGCTCAGGGTGTGCAAACACTCAGTTATCCACGGACCTGCTGGTTCCTCCAGAGCCCAGACCAGGGTGGGTTGGCTGGAATTGGGGATCCTGTAAGGATTATTTTATCCTCTGCCTGGAAACCCTGGTTCTCAGCCTGACGTGATGCACAGAGGAGGAATTTGGGTGTTTTCAGACCTGGGCTGTGCATCCTGATGGAGTTTGGTGTTTTCAGCTGGATGGAGGAGCATCATTTCAGTAGGAAACAAGGAAATTGGAAGTTAAAGTAATTTTTGCAATGTCGTGGCTCTGGTTTGGAGATGCAGGCTCTGGGGAAGGGGGGGTGGGTGTTGGGTTGAGGTTTATTGGAATAAAAAAGGAAATGTGAAGGAAATATGGGCTCAGGCACAAGATGCTTCAGGGAGCGTTGGGAGACTGTGTCTGATCCTGTGTGGGAAAAGCCTCTGGGCATTACAGGAATTTTATCCAATGCCGTCTGTCTCGACCGTATGTAAAGCTCTTTTTTTTTTTTTAGCATTTATTTTTTTAATGCCTTCTGGAGTAAAATGCAGGAAGGGATTACTTTAATTGCATTTTTTTTAGCAGAATAGATACTTCAGGGCTAAGGAGATCAGAATATCTATATTTTTTTGATTTTATGGCCCATTGGTGGCAGCAGCAGGGCCTGTCTCGGCAGAACCACATCCAACCTCGGGCTTGCGGCGCTGCCAGCACATGAACCAGGCAGCTCCCGGCCTTCCCGACATGACAGGCAGAAATTGGGCTGCCTCTTGGTGTGTCCCTGGAAATCAGTCTGCTGCCCTGCTCGAATTAACCTGGAAAGGCGTCGGGCTTCACGAAACCAGGACTTATTGTGTTGGTTTAAAATATTTACCTAATCTTGGGAATTCAGGTGTAGTCATGGCCATGTGTGGATGCACAGGAATGGCTTCTCCCTGGTTTTTTTTCGTCTTAAGAAAATGAGTTTGGTTGTCCTTTGATATGAGGAAGTGCCTTCAGTGTCTTTGCTAATACTGATTAGCAAAAGAGATTTTAATTTTAGCCCATGATATCAAACTCATCCTACCGTGCTGACAGACACAGCATGTTGGGAACCAGGCACAGCCTGGGCAAGAACAGGGTATTGTAGAGAATATGTCATTAACAACGTGGCTTCTCTCAAAAATTCCTGTATTTATGAAGGAATTAATGTAGGTAAATTGAAATTGGTCTGTTATAACCTTATTTTGGGTTATTTAATTAGTTTTGAGGCTGGTTGGGGGAAGTCAGTTGGTCTTTTTAGGTTCTTTTGGGATTTGGGTGCTTTGTGTTGGGGTGGGGGTTTTTTGTTGTCTTTTGTTTGTTTGTTTTATTTTTATTCCTTGAGGATTTTTGCCTTGCTTATGGAATGCCCACAATGTGCTGCTGTGCAGGAGCTTTGGCCACCGTGGTCGAGGCGGGTGGGGGCTGGCAGGGGGTGCCCAGTCCCATAGTGGAGGTGGCATCCAGCTTGTTGTGCTCTGGCAGAGGTGGAATCACCTTTCGTGAACCAGTCTTGCACTTGGGGAAAAAAAAAATAGTAGTCATAAAAACTGACTTATGAAACTGTTTGAGATGTTGTTCCTCAACTACTTGATGCATATGGGAACCTAGAATGGAAATGAGAAAATTAGAAGAAATGATTACTGCTTTTGATGAGTTTTAAATGGTTGGAAGCTGGTTGTATTTGTGGAAGAGTGGAACTTCTATCCAAGATCCTACTGAACCAATGCACTTCTCAGAGGTGATTTATTTTAATATAAGAATGGTTTTAACATGCTCAGTTTAATTTGATCTGACACTTTTAAACCCATACAAAATGCTGGGAGTTCCCTACAGTAAATATCTTAAAGGGGTTTTATTATTATAATGAATTATTTAAATAACTTGTCTGGCCAAAATGTTGGACACTGTACTGGAAGTGCAGGGTGGAGCTGGGCTGTGATAGTGCAGGGTGTGAGGCCACCCAGCATCACCCATAGCCAGCAGGATGAACCTGGCTCAGCTGATGGTTTTGGATCCTCTTCTTTGGAAAGAAGATGATTTGGCTCATTAGGAATGGTGCAGAATGAGCAATTTTTAGTGGATATGGTCCTTATACTCATTTACGTGGAATATTTCTTCATTCTCTTGGTAGATAGGGGGAAAGAGCATGTTTTTCACTTTATGATTAAAATTCACAAGGATACCTAAAATAACTGTGGATGCTGCTTTAAGAACCCAGTCCTTGCCGGGAGGAAACCAAACCTGTGCTGTGTGGTGTCTGAGCCACCAGAAGAGGATGGTCCTCCCCCTCCATGTCACGGGGGTGAATGAGTGTTGCCGTTGCCCACCATCTGCGCTGGGGACGGACTTTCTGTGCTTGGCCTTGCCTGAACACGTGGAAAGAAGGTTTTGGGCATGGGGATTAAACCCCGTCATGTGCTGGAGAGGCCCCTGCATGTGTGGCTGTAGATGTGAGAGGTGTTTAGATGTTCCCTTTGATTGAAAAACAACTCTTCGGTCCTGGGAAATGCACTGGGTGTGTCGTCGAGGTGAACAGCCGAGCACAAGAACAAGTTTGTCTCCTTTTTTAATCCCTCTGTTGCTTCTCCAGTGTACTGAAGGCATTTTACACAGCTTAATTAAGTTTTGAAATCACTGCTGCACCATGTCACTGGAGCCAGAAGCTCCACAATGTGTGGAGAAATTAGACAATGACGTGGCAAATGGGAGCAGCCAAGGGTATTTTGGAGAGGGTGGTTTCTTCTTCCATGGGAGATGGTCCCTGTGTTTTTCCAAACCCCAAACCAGATGTTTGCTGGGGAGAAGCCTTCTCAGAGTGGGAATTTCTCTGTAACTCTCTTCTTCAGGCTTTTTGCACCTCTTTCTGGGAAGTTTGGTCACTCAGGATGTCCCATTCCTGGAAGTGTCCAAGGCCAGGTTGCACGGGGCTTGGAGCAACCTGGGATAGTGGAAGGTGTCCCTGCCCATGACAGGAGGTGAAATGAGATGAGCTTTAAGGTCCTTCCCAACCTAAACCATTCTGGGTTTCTATGGCTGGTCACATCCAAAATGGTAAAAACCTTCTTGAATCATCTTTTAGCACCGGTTGTCTCCAGCCTTTTATTTTCATTGTGCTGAACAGATAGAATTGGGACCAGAGGCATCTAATGTCACATTAAAAAGTCTTTTTCTTGATTAGGCAAGAAAATTGACTTTATTATATTTTAGGTGGTCTTATTTCAGTAAATGGTGTATTTGAATGTGCTCAGTGTTGTCTATGGGACTCAGTAAGGAAATGACCTGGAAAAATTTGGGTTTTGAGAATGCCTCAACCCTTCTGCTGGCTGTGAACAAAAATTCAGGCATGGTTGACAAAACCACCCTGGAAAATACATGGAGCCCATAAACACTAAATTAGGACCTGTATTTTTCAACATGCTTTCTGAGCAGAAACCCATGACTGAGCTTGAGCTTGCAAAGAAAGTCGGGGCTGTGGTGTGGTTGGGCATCTCCATCTCTGTCCTCTGAGGTGGAAGGGGGATATGCTGGAACCTTCTGCTGAACTGACAGGCTTGGCATTGGTGAGGAAAGTAGTTTTTTGTGAGTGCAGGAGAAGATTTTTTTGACCCTTCTGTCATGCCCAGCAAAGGGTGATGCTGAGTCTAAGCCAGTGGCTTAGCTCCCCTTGTAGCCCAAAGTGGGCGAAGGGATGACATCCCACCACTTCTCAAGTTCAAAGATGTGCATGAAGCCTTTTGGGATGTATTTGAAGGGCTGATGCAGGGGGCGTCAAGTTCCCAAGGATGAGATATGTGGAAATGGGGGCTTGGGAAGTAAAAAGTTTGGAACAGGAGTGAGAAGGAGCTCCGTAGCTCTTGGTTTTGAGGGTTCAATAGCAGGACATAGGGCCAGTGTGTCCAGCCCAGAGCTGCTCAGGGGATGGTGATGTGCTCCCACACTGCGTTGTGGTGCTCCCAGAGATGTCTCGTGCACTCTGGGATGGGCCTGGACCAGAAGAGCATCCCCATCAACACAGGTTGAATTTGTTCATCAATCTCTATTTAACTGGGGGAAAGAAACCCAAATAACTCCTTTTTTCGGGCATTCAAACCCTTCCCACTGAGCTGGTTTGGGTTTTTCAGCTCTAGTCCACTGGCAGTATGCTAAGGGAGAGGAGGGAGCAATGGCTGCCGTTCAAAATTCACAAAGGCCCCACCCAAACCCTCTGATTTGGAAAATGTTTTGTACTGGGGCTGGTGGTACTTGCCAGTTAAAACCCAGATGGTGCCAACGTGGTGGTGTTGAGAGTTTAAACCAAAACATGGGCAAGGTGGCAAAACCTGAGGTTTCCCTTGCACCTGAAATGTTCAGTGGAATGGAGGGGTGGAAGCAAAATGCCAACAGAGTTTTATTTTGAGAAGAAAGGATAGAAAATATGGGGAAACTCAATTGCTTCATGTGATGCAGGTCTGCAAAACTCCTCCTTGAAGTGAGCCCCAGTTTAAAATGTGCCCTTAGGCATCTCGAACTGCTGCCCAAACATAGTAATTTGGGTTTCTCTGCCAAGGCAGAAACTTTCTGCATGATTCATTGGCCTTACTCAGATTTTAAAGACATTGTAGAAAAAAAATACAGGTTAAATCAGGTGTTTGGTCACCTTGAACCTCCATTCCAGAGTATTCTGTTAAAGGTGGAAAAACATGGTTGGTGGACCCCGACCCACCACTGGGATGGGAGAGGAGCAA